GAAAAGCTACTGGTTTGCATTGGATTCTGCCTAAATTCTACATGACAGCCTACATTTCCTGTCTGAAATCTCTCATTAAAAATACAAAGAATCCAAATGTGTTGCGGGTTCCTCCTGGTGTTAGGACCTGGCTCCCTAGTGTTAAGACTGATTGCTCAGGGAATTTTCAAGAATTCAGGGAAAGCCAATAAGCTAGTACTCAGGGAGCTGTCTTAGCCTAAAAGATCCTAACAGTTGTCTATAGCCAGAAAGAATAGTTGTGAAGCCAAGGCTACTTGCCTTGCCCAGCTTTTAACTTGGTACAGGTTTAATTTTTATTTCACTTTTGTTACTATTTAACCTATGAATTAGTTAAATCAATGAAAAGTATTATATCCTTCATCTTTCAGTGGAAGATTGTGAATGACTGTGAGGGCTTTTCATAGACTTGCATGACAATTTAATAGATTGAAGTCCCATTAGGAGAGAAAAAAAAAACACTTGGAAACCTACAGAAAGCTGAATGTTTATTTTCATAAATAAATATAAAATAACAAATGTGTGCTCCAATTTTACAATACCTTATAGAAATTACAGTCATTACTGGTTATGGAAAGTTTATAATGTCAATTAACCGTGTAATCCAAAGAGATTGAACTCTGGCAATTGAGACACCTCCTTCCTTGCTGAGGTTTTCTTTTTATTCTTTGGGAATGACAGAGATAAACTGGGTATATTCAGAAGAGATCCGCTAATGAACTCTTCATGATTACAGGATCCAAAATAGGTGTATTTTGTGCTTAACTGGCTTTGTTTCTCAAATGTGAAAGGGAAAACAAAACTATTTAAATTCACTAGAATAAAAGAGATGAGTATTTCACAAACTGAAGCAGAATTTTAGCCAAATCTTTTGTAAGTTTTTTTGTTTTGTTTGTTTGTTTGTTTGTTTTTGGTACCAGGGAGTGAACTCAGGCCTTTGCACTTGCAATGCAGGCAGCGGCACCACTGAGCTAAATCACCAGCCTGTTTGTAAATTTTTTAATGTATTCCCATGGATGTATGCATACAAAATGTGTGTAATGTATATGATCATTTAGTGTCTCTTTTTAAAGATACTTTATTTACCTTCAAATTTTGGATCTGTGTTGCTCTGAGAATATTTCATAAAAGAAATAATGTTTAAATATAGCTGAATTTTATCAAATAAACAATATGCATATAAAACTGTAAAAAATACATAAGGAAGCTTAATATCTGCTAAATTGAAGCAGAAGTATCTTTTAATGCACTGAATTTCTATATGTCAAATGTTTCTATTGCGTTAATCAGAAATGCTATGAAAAGAATTCATGCATGAAGTATCAGCAACATAGCATCATAAACAAACCATAAACCATCCAAGCACATTTTAATTACATAACATGCAGATCTATTTACTCACAAGATAAACACTAAACTTTTGTGTTGTAGAGCATGCACTGATACAGAAGTAAAAACCTAAATGCACATAATCTGATAAAAACACCATGTTCTCACCTAAAATGTACCAATAAACTCAACGAGAAAAAAAACACAATGTTCTTTTTGAGCAGACATTCTGAATGTAACAAAGCCTATAAAAACAATGAGCTCAACTTAATCTCCACTTATACCATGAATAATCATACATTATTATTGTACATATTAAAGATTTAAGACACAAGGCAAACAATGAAGCAAGACAACAAAATAGGCTTTCTCCAAACTTCTAAAATCAACTACAATCATTCCCTTTTCCCGCATATCATTACATTTGTGGCAATAACTGAAACACTCAATTAAACTATATGGTTCAAGTTGATGAAACTGCAGAGAATTCATTTTATTCCATTCACAGACTAAAGATAAATCATTGTTGGGTTAAGTCAATGGAGTTCCATTAGTTACCTTCTGATTTCATAAATGCTTTATTGATATCCAGACATGTTTTAATTCTTTCCTAATCCCCCATCTCCTCCAGATGTTATGCTTCATCAAAAGCAATATAATTTTTTCCTCATCAGCACAGAGGGACTCTCATTCATTCCCCATCTGTCACTCAAACTTCATAGGAAAAACTAAAAGAGTTTCATGTGGGAAGAGCAACATGCAGACACATCCACATACCAAGAGTATTTTAAAGCAAAAATCTCGTGGGATTTGTAAAAATTCCATTCAATATCAAAGAACCACATGCACTTACGAAAAACAAGCTAACCTTTAAAACATGATTCCAGTCCAAGATACTGCATTCACACAAGAAAGTTAAAATGCTTCTATACTCATATAAAATAATGGACCAACTCAATTAATTTGTGGTGCACCTGGCTGCCTAATACCAAAAGGGGTACCAGATATAATCAGGTAAGTCATGCACACACACATTCAACAACAGTAATTAACTTTTCGACAGGACCTGTGTTGGTATGAAATATTCTGCATTGAAGGTGCACATTTCTATAGGTGGAAGAAACTATGCTCTGAAATCACCTCAGAGAAACAAGATAAATATGCCTATTATTTAAAGATACCTTAAAAATAGTTTAACATCCTTTCCTAAAACACATTTTTCTCACTAAAATGCTGATAACTTTCTTATTTTGAGAAAAAAATTAAACCTCTTAAAGTCGCAGGGAACCAATATTTAAAAGCACCATGATATATGTCATTTGTTAGCATTTTGCCTTATGTTTTTACACGTTGCTTCTTTCAACTTCATCCAAAAGAGCCATATTCTATTAATAATGCTGTGCCTACAGAGGCCTTTTTAATGTTTAAAGTGTGTGTGTGCATCCATATAAGTACTAGATATCCACCTATGAATTATATTTCTGTTCAACTTGGCAATGGTTCAGATGCGATGCTTTCCGTTTAGCAATTAATCTACAGATTTAACTTTGCTTTTGCTACTTGTTTAGCAAACAAAGTGTGAAGCTAACTCTTTAGGAGAATTCTTTAATAAGAAAAGGAAGCCTTCCCTGTTGTTATGCAGCCTCAATTTCTAATGCCCAAACTATTTTTCTAGGCAAATGAATCTCATCCTTTGTGTATAAGCAGGTCATCCAATGGAAATTCTAAGATGCTAGTTTATGAGTTATACATTGGAAGCATTAACATTGATAACTTCCCATTAATTGGCCCGGGTTTCTATATCTATATATACATGGGGTGGCTTATCTTTACCCCCCAGGGCAACAATGGTCACCTTCAGAATAAAGCAAGAGGCAAGGAAAGATCTTCCCTATAAGCCTAGCTTTATTATATTCTCCAAAACTATGCTAAGGAAAAAAATCTTAAATAAAAAGTCATTCTATGAATGCAGAGAAAAACAACAAGTAAAAGCTTTCCTTGGTCATGATATCGTATTTTATAACTAGAAGTCAATGGGCACTCAATAGCTATTTTCATAGAAGCTAAGCCAGATAAAGCATCTGCATCCTGAAAATGACTTTAGTCACAACCTTCTTTTATTTGCTCCGCAAAACTCCTAATGTTCCTTTCTGCTAATAAGCCAGGTGATTACAAGTACCTTAAAAATCCAAATAGATTTAATAAAGTAGTTACACAAAAAACTAAGAAACCTACATATACAGCATCACAAAGAACTGACATCTCAAAGCATTCTATTGGTTATTATGTGAAAGCTACGTAAGTTCTTACATAGCACCGTCTCTACATAAAACAGTATGTGAAGCCTAACCAAGATCTCTTAAACTCGCTCACATAGCGGGTCCCTAATCTATCAGCTAGCCTGCCACAGAGACCACTATTGCTGCAGAGAAAATGGCCACATTTAGCAGACGAATGGGCTTTCACTATTTATGTCAAAGTCATCTCCAAAGTGATGTCCATAATTTTAATTCTCTGTATATGATTTCTTATTTGCTTGGATTACCTATGTCATTTATTTATATAGTTCAGTAATGTGTCTGCAACTTGTTTCAAAGGGGAAAATTTTTTTTCATTCCCTCATAGTAGGTCACAATTTCATCCCATCAACAAGTATTAAAACATGTACAAACAAAGGATTATACCCTCATTTAAAATTGTTGATGTAATTATTGTGGCCTATTAACTTCTTGAAGTATACTGAAAATTCCAAACTTTATTTTCCTGTAAGATACCAATGTTGTAATTCATTAAAATGACTCATTAGGAGTTCCTTACGACCTAAGATACATAGTATAATGAAGAAAAGAACAAGAAGGAAAAAGGAAAAATTATGAAAGAAGAAAAGAGAAAGAGCAGGAAACTCTCTATTAAAGAAAGAAAAAAGAATCACCAGGAGACAGCTAAAATTCCTTATATTTAACCACTTACTTTTATAAACTATTTAAAATCACTAACCACAGACCAATACTAATGCTGGAATTTAACATTAAAAGCCCAGCTGGCTTGTTTTTTGTACCACACAAGATGTTTGCTTGTGGTACGCAGGGCTTCCTGTTGCCCATTTGAAAATGTAAGTGTGCTGATAGAAGGCAGAGTCTAGATTTCCCACCAGAACTGTAGTACTCATTTACAATTGATTTCTTAGATTAATAAATCCTTATGTCATTATGCCTTTCAAATACTGTTACCTTATAATCTCTATTCATACTTCTTATTTGTGTAAAATATTAAAATAGCTGTTAAGAAAAATACATCTATTTTCTATAGTATTGTTAAGTGCTTTATATAACCACCAACTATTTTGATTCCAAAAGCTTGTTATAAAACCTGGAGGAGGAAAATTCCTTTAAATTTATAATTAATAATAATCTTACAAAAGCTCTAAAAGTTACAATTTCCATATAACTTCTACATAATTAAAAATATAGTCTTTAATGTGAGAAAATATATTATTTCTGTCTTCAAGGGAGAAAGACACAATATCTACTACTAATCACCAAACTAATGCAATTACATTTTTCCCACATACTCCTCACAAGGCAAAAGTAAAATATTAATCCATCTACAAAGAGGCAATCAGGAACTGCTTTCATTAGAGCAATTTTAAAAGATTTTTTGCACAATTATGGCTTTAAATTATATAAGAAGGAATCTGCTGGAAAGACTAAATATAACTATTAAAATGAATGCTGATATCTCCAGAGGCAAAAATATCATAGGATAACCCTCATAGAAAGCAAAAAGCAAGTGAAATTGAGCAGTCACAAACTCCTTACTGCCTTTTTCCAGTTCATATTACATTATCTTGTTTTTTGTTTTAAAAAAATTAGGAAGAATTCAACCTCTGGAATAACTGATATCAGGTTTTCTGTTATAATAATGTGAGGGAGAAGAAAAGGATATCTAGTTAAAAGTTATCTACTCTTTCCTATAAGCTTCTCTTTCTAAAATTATTGGTACAAGTATCCTGGACCTGTGAAAATCCATAGGATTTCCAGAATTTGCAAACCATCCAGCCAGTAATGACCACGTGTTCCCTCATTGCTGCTTCCAGAGTTTGACCCTTGCAGCCACGAGGTGGAACTTGAAAGACCTTGACTTTAGCCACTAGTCCTCTGCAGGAATGTTTCCTCTAGCCAGCACGAGCACTGTACATTGCCTTTCTAACTTACACAAGGTGGCTTTTGGCTAAAGAGAAAAGAGGAAAGGGATGTGGATACGTTATGGAAACATTTCAATCTATGGCTATCTCCAAGTTTTCTCTGAGACTAAACTGCAATTTTTTCTTCAAATTTATTGCTTTCAGAAAATAATACAGGTTGTACTATTACCAATTCTTTAAATTCTATGCTATCTTGGACAAATACTTTACAACAAGCCGACAATGAATAATCTTGCTTCTAAATTTACAATAAAGGATGCACTAGGAATGATCCTACATTTTATGTTTACAAACCTAAGTGGCCAACTGTCTTCCAAGGTAAGTTCTTCTCTGTCCTTCTTACTTAACTCTTCTAAGTGACTTTTAAAAACACATACCACAAAAATAAGGCATCGTCCCTTGGTAGCTGCTAAAATTATCTAGACTTTCCCTTAGGTTTCTATTTTTAAAATTCAAAAAGTAATATTCATCCATGTTGTCTTCTTATGTTTAGCAATGACCGTGCTTATTATTCAGGTATCACAACCTCTTTCTTATAATCTATATACTCGCTTTTTAAAAACCTTCTATGCCACAACAGCATAGTCCTTATTTTGTTCATTGTTTTCATTTTCTTCAGGACTAGTGATTTTTACTTCTGGTCTGGATGGTCCTTGAGGATCTAAATCAGCCTGGAGGAAAATAGAGCAAAACAAACATACTTAGCTCTTCGGGTTACAAAAATAACAAAATTGACAAAGAAAAACTTAATGTTCTATTTATTCATGTAAGTATTCAACTAGAAGCAGTTCCTTGGGCCCCTTTGTGCTTCCACCTACCCAGGGGACCTGCCATACTCTGCCTTTTATTTTGTACAGAAGGATTTTCCGGGACCATAACCCACTATGTGTTTTAAAAGCTCTGCCTCATTTCTTATGTTCCAGGCTTTATTTTTCTCAATTTTTTCTTCACTTCCCTTTGAGCTCTTGTCTTCAGCGAAGCATTTCAGAGATAAGGGAAGGAAAATCCAGCAGCTTCCCCTCATGCCTCAGGAACCCAGCCTCTCCTGGTTCTCTCATGGTGAATGTGCTACCCAAGTGGCATCAGGTACCAGGTGGTAAGACCAGGACAGACCAGCAAAATGCAGAGGGAGCTCTTCTCTGATGGCAACGCTAGTTCTGCCACTTGCACCTTTCATATCTTATTAGTTATGTCATCTCATTTATAATTTGTCTTTTTCCATTAGGTTGAAAACTGATGAGGATGAGATTAGATGATTTTCAAACTATGCTCCCTGCAATTCTGGACTCTCCACTGGGCCAAAGGGCCCAGTGGAGGGAACAAGAGCAGCTCCAGCTCCCCCAAATCTCATAGCCGGAATGCCATGATTTTTGTTCCAAAAAATATACATGTCTATCTGTATCCCTATTCCTGGAGTTATATCCCACTTCATGTTACCTTGTGAAACATCTCAAATGCTATCTTGACGGTCATGAGAGCGCACAATCTTGACCAATGTCATTTGTTCCCTACGTACTTGCCTTATGTTTCCCGCTGTGTTGCTACAGTCATTTCCCACCTTGGAAGAACTGTCACATGGAACACAATGTTTCATACTAAACCCAATTTTAGTCATTTGATAAGTATAGAATCTTTTTGCAAGAGTTAATTTATAATTCACATAAATGTGAACATTCATACATGTGATATGCTTAAAGCAAAGTGTATCTATACTAATGAATTCAGGGGAACAAAAATAAGATGGATTGTCATTACAAAGGAGAGATGAGTCAAGCAAGATCAAATCTCCATGTAAGTTACTTCTCCACTCACGCATCTGCATCGTCCTAAAATCCCTAGCTAGTCACTTATCAGGCCCTTCCTCAAGTGACTGCCCATGAATTTGGATTCTTCCTTGTTACATGCCATAGACACCTAGACCTCAGGCTTTCTCAAATTATATATAACCTTGATTTTTTCACTGATGCCCAGTTCTTCTCAAAAGCCTGTTTTTCTCCTTCATTGTTAAAGTTAATTTATTTTAATTGGAAAATAAAAGTGTATGTGTTTATGGCATGCAATCTGATGTTTCAAAATATGTGTGCTGTGGAGCAACTTAAATGATTTAACATTCTCACTACCTCACAAACTACCATCTCCCATAGTGAGGACACAAAATCTCTCGGTGCTTTTTCAGATATACAACCCAATGTCATTAGCTACAATCACCATGGACCCCAGATCCCCTAAACTCATCCCTGCTACTTGAAATTCTGTATCCTTTGACCAACATCTCCCTATTCCCCAACCCTGGGCCTTGGTAACCACCAGTCTACTCTCTGCTTCTAGGTGTTTCACCCTTCTTAGATTCCACATGTAAGTGAAATCACAAAGTTCATTTTTCCATGTCTGGCTCGTTACACTTAATATAATGTCCTTATCCACATTGTTGCAAATTACAGAATTATTTCCAAAAGTTACATTGATGGAAGGCAATCCATTTCTATAAATCTCTCTAAGTCACATGTTGAATTGCACTAAACCATCAGGAAAAAGAAAGCACACAAGGGTTGTACTATCTAGTCCCACTTACTCTCTCATAAACTTTTATCAAAGGCCACTACAACAAAGAGATTTATGAAGTCTACTACCAGAGTAGCCATATAAATGACACTGAGGACTGTGTAGAACTACATATGAGGAATTTCTTACAGATTAGGGCTGTGATTATGTCGTTTTGAGTAAAGATGAAATGAGAAACATGCTGAGAAGTTTCATTTAGATGCTAAGAATGTTTTGTACAAGCTATACAGTGGATTACAGATAACTTTGTACTGGTTACTGAAACCTGACCACAGAACATTTTGCACTTTGCCATTGTTAAAACTTGCTCTTCTCTCTTGTACTTTGCTAAACATGACAGAACCTGGTGTTCTGAGGGCTTGGTTCAATAAATCCATTTAAAGTGAGCTAAACAAACTAGACAATTCCTCTAGAGAGCAAAGAAGTCACTGGTAATAAAGATGATGTTCTTTATATCACGTCTTGGTCTCACTGTTCTTGATATCTTTTCTGGCTTGGTCTTCCCTGGTTTTTAACTTTTTTTGTATTTTTGTATCTCTCTCTTTTATTGTATGTGTTCTTAAAGAGCTCTATAAATTTTGTACAATAAGATAGGGGATGGATGGACGTATTTATAGTAGATGAATAGATAGATGGATGGGTGGATGGATGGATGGATGGATGGGTAAATGACAGAATAACAGACATGTGGACTGTCAGCTAGGTTGTTTGTTAACTGACTAAGTAGAAATTAATTAGGCAGTGTTGGATCTTTCCTTCCTTCTCAGCATAAGGGAGTTTGGTTCACATACATTCTAGCACAGACAAAAAGCAATAGGAATACCTCTTCCTGTCCACCACCAGCTCCTGGAGACTTTTGTTGCTCATCCACTGCTGACTGAAGCTCGTCTTTATCCTGGGCTAGCTCCTCTCCATTTTCTTCATCAGTTCCTCCATGTACATGGGCGGGACTGGCCTTCTCCCCGCTGCGCTCAGGGGTGTCAGCAGCATCCCTGCCTCCTTCCCCAGCTCTGCCACTCATCCCTGAAAAGTCTTCTTTCTGCTCTTCATCTATGGCTGCTTTCTCTCCATCTTCCTCCTCATCCACTATTTCTGCTGGCCTCTGATCCACAAAACAAACAACAGATAAAAGTACAAAATATAATGGAGGATTTTTCCATTGCACATATATTGGTATAGTAATTATTACATTACAGTGAAGTAAAACTCCTTTACACATACACGGTACTTTACAGTATAAAATACGTTTACATTTAGATAATACCTACCATGTGGCACACTTTCAAGTATTTTCTCATTTATACCTCACAACAATGCTGTGAGATTGCTCGTAGTCCCAGTCCACACTTGGAGAGCCAAGTAGCCAGCCCAAGGTCCCTCTGGAAGAGCTAGAATTTGAGCTGATCTTGTGACTTCAGAGCCAGTGCTCTACTCCCCACAGCAGAAGGAAACTAAACTACAAAGTCCTCTGATGCTTGGAGTGTCTGACCAGAGGAGGTAAAAAGTCTTTGTGAAGAGATGGCCACCCCCAGTACTGGGGGTCAGGGTAACAGCAATGGATCCAGTGAACTCAGTTTTTCTGACATGAAATGTGGACAGCTTTTCCCATAATGCACATAATGCCTGAGAGTTAACAACTTGTCTCTAAATACAAACAGTATTTTATAGATCCAAATTAGGCATTTGGATATACGCAAGTTCACTTTAAAGGAGAACAGGAGGCCAAGTACTAAAATCAAGACACTGGGGAAAGAAAAACCCAAGTTGAAGTCCTAGCCAGGCGCTTAGTGGCTGCTACCTAAATTCTGTGAGTTTGTAAAATGTGAAGATAATACAATTTCCATGGGGTTAAATGAGACAAGTTATATAAAAAGACCACTTGTACATTTTACCTGGCACATGAAAGATCCTTAAAAACACTGGATTTTTTTTTCCATTTATTTTGACACATACTTTGCTGGAGTTATCATATTTCTTTATTTCCATCAATAAAATAAATAAAACAAGTTTTTTAAAAATGTTAGGGTAGAAAAAACACAGGATTTTTTCTATGTTGAGATCTCACACCTGCCTCTTTCTACTTTTCTGTTTTTGAATACCTAATCCTTTGGCCTCTGGAAAATGAGGATTTAGGCCTCAATAGCCCTGAAATCCCATCCAACTCTGGAAGTCAACTGTCTTCAAAGAAAAGGATGTCTACGGTGTGGTATAAATCTTTTTATAAAAGTTAGCATACTGCTTTCTACTTGGGAAGGGAAGAAATATGGACATGAAGGCAAGTAGACTAACAATTCAGATAATATTGCACACAACATTATTTTGAAAGAAAAAAACTTGGAACCATGAATTTCTATCTTCTGTTAAAAATAAAGTCACAAGTTTAGTCAAATTATATCAAAGATGTACTTAAACAATAAAGGAAAAAGTAGTTATCCCAAGGTCCTGAAGAAACCAATGTTTGTATTATACAGACTGAATAAGACAGTGAGGCTGATTGTTTAACTTTTAGTCAGAGGCCTAACATCAAATGGTGTAAACTCCACACTACCCTTAAGAATACTACCCAGTTGAAGACCACAGGAAGCCTGTCTTTGTTACTTTTTCATTTTAGGATAAAATACCCAACATTCAAAAGGAAAAAAAGGAAAGGTTTATGTTAGCTCATAGTTTATAAAGGTTTCAGTCCCCAGGAGGCTGGCTCCAAGGCAGGGTAGTATAGCAGAGAGGTACAGAATAGGAGAAACAGTCCACGGCAGGTAGGCAGGAAGCAGCAAGCAGTGAACCTCCATTTCCCTTTTATTCCAACTAGGCCATAAATTTATTGGTTGGTACCACTCACACCCAGAGAGGGGCTTCTGTCTTCAGTAAATTTATTCATTTACACCCAGAACCACACTAATCCAACCAGTTGACTGATCCAGTACCACACACCCTTAATCCATTATCACACACCCATAATCCAAGCACCTCCCAAAGGTCCCACTTCTGAGCACGTAGGGACATCTAGATACAACCCATATCAAAGGTCAAAGGCTGGACAGAAACTCAGACCAGAAAGAGGTGGATCTGTCAGATGGTACTGAAAGAACTGGTGAAAAGACCTGTGAAATACAACTCATTAGGCCTGATAAAGAATATCTGAATTTTCAAGACTCACGTGAGAAAAAACTTCCATCTCTTAAGGAGAAAATCACGTTTCCCCATCTCCTCACCACAACCTTGTCTCATCGCCTCTCCATAGAGAACAAACAGGAAGATATTGAGGAACACACCTAAACTAGTGAGGAGAGGAGAGCTGGAGAAGGGAGAGGTGGGCACTGTCACTATGAAATCAGAACAAAAGAGAATGCAGCACACAGGAAAACTGGTTGCATTTCTATACAAACAATTAATCTGAAAAAATTATAAAATTATTCATTTACAATAGCATTAAAAGGAATAAAATAATTAGGAATTAACTTAACCAAAGAGGTAAAAGACTTGTATGATGAAAACTACAAAACGTTGGTCAAATATATTTAAAAAGATAAACATACTCCATGTTCATAGATTGCAATTTTTAATTTTGGTGAGATGTCACCACCCACAGTGATCTGTGGATTAAAAATTCATATACAAAATCAAGAAACCCTAAATAGTCAAAACAATCTTGAAAGGCAGACACAAAGCCAAAGGAGCCACATTTCCTAATTTCAAACCTTGTCACAGAGCAACAGTAATCAAAACCAGTGGCATAAAGACAGACATGTAAATCAATAAAATAGAAATTCAGAAATAAACCATCATTTATACTATCGTCAAATGACTTCTGACATGAGTACTGTTTTAGTTACTTTTCCTGTTGCTGAGACAAAATATCCAACAAGTTAACCGACAAGTTAAGGTAGGAAAAGTTTATTTGGCTCACAGTTTGCAGATGTAGCAGTTCATCGTTGGCTGGCCCCAGGCAGGTTGGCATGGCAGAGGGGCATCACAGAGGAGAAACAGTTCATGACAGCAGAAGATAGCAAAAGCAAGAAAGGGACAAGACAAGCCTCTTTCTGTCCCTTATGTTGTACCTGGGCTACCAGGATTAGGATGGAACCAAACCAATCAGTGGATTGGTGATTTAGTAATCACCACCCTAAATCCTAGAACCCTTAATCCTAGCATTGCATGCACAGTCTAGATTCAGCCATCTCTGAAAAAGTTCACCTATGACTGCATGAGTCTTTGGGGGAACATCTAAACACAAGCCACAACAAACACCAATGAGGAAAGGACAGGATTTTCAACAAAGGTTGGTGGGAAATCTGAATCTTACATACGAAAGTATGAAGTTAGTATTACAGCTTATATCTAGATGTTCCCTCTCAAAGCCTCATGTACTCAAAGGTGGGAAGTGGTTGGATTATGAGTTTTTGATAGCTGAATTGATCCACTGATTGGTTTACTGTGGATGCAGATAATGGAATTATTGAAGAGGGAAGCCCCACCCTGGGTGTGGGTAGCATCAATCAATAAGCTGGATGGAAAATACAGGTAAAGAAGGAAGGCAGGCTTGCTGCTTTCTGTCTGCCCTGCCATGAACTGTTTCTCCTCTGCCATGCCAACCTGCCTCAGAGCCAGTTGACTATGGACTAAAACCTTTACAGACTATGAGCTAAAATAAATCTTTCTTCCTTTAACTTATAGGTGTCAGGTATTTTGAACCAGTAATGAGAAAATGGCTAAAAGAGTTTGACTCTTACTTAATATCATAGAGAAAAATTAATTCAGAATGGATGGAAGATCTAAAGAAAGCCTTAAAATGCTAAACCTCTCAGACAAAAACAGAGCAAACCTTCATACTACCAGATTGAGCAGTGACTTCTTAGGTATAACAGTAAAAGCATAGTCAACAAAAGAAAAAGAAGTAGACAAACTGGACTTCATGGAAATTTTAAGATTTTGTGCATCAAAAGACACCACCAATAGAGTGAAAGGGCAATCAGAATAGGAGAAAATATTTGCAAATAATAGATCTGAAAATCTGGATGGAGGCTTCATATCCAGATTATATTTAGAACTCTGAAAACTCAACAACTACCACAAAACAATTAAAAAATAGGTAGAGGACATGAATAGGCATTTCTTCAAAGAAGGTTTATAAATGGCCAAATGGCATATGAAAAGACACTCAAATCAAACTTCAGTGAGATACCTCCTCATAGCCATTATAATGGTCACTATCCCAAAAAGGAGAGAAAAAAACAGCAAACAACAAATGATGGAAGGGATGTGGAAAGATTGGAACCCTGGTGCATTGTTGGTGGGAAACAATATGGCAGCCACTCAAAAAAGTAAAAACAGAATTACCATATGATCCAGAAATTCCCCTCCTGGGTATATACTGAAAAGAACTGAAAGTTGGGTCTCGAAGAGATATTTGTACACACAACTTCATAGCAGTGTTATTCAGTATAGCTAAAACATGGAGGCAGCCCAAGTATCCATTAAAAGATGAATAGACAAGCAATATGTGGTGTTTATTTAGCCTTAAATTGGAAAGAAAATCTGACACACGCTACGCCACAGTTACGTTATTCTTAGTGAAATGAGTCAAATCACAAAAAGACAAAAAGTGTATGATTTCACTTTTTTTAGGTATTTAAAGCAGGTGATACCACAGAAGCTGAAAGTAGAATGTTGCCTGCCAGGGCTGATGGGGAAGGAGAACGGGGGATTATTGCTTTTAATGGGTATAAAGTTTCAGTTGTGCAAGATAAGAAAAATCTGGAGATGAATGCTGATGGTGGTTGCACAATATGAATGTGTTTAATATTTAAGTGTACTACACACACAATGGTTACAACAGTAAATTTTACATGACAGTATTTTACCGTAAAATAAAATTAAGATTAAAACATGAACAAAAAAGAGCAGAGAAAATGTCCTGCAGCCAAGATTACATTTCTGCATCACTAAAGAGTAAGAGATTCTGAGAAGGGCAGGAAAAGAGCCAGCACTGACGATGTAATGGGGCTTCCTCACTCAGGCAGTGTCTTCTCAGGGGACTGGAACCAAGACTAAGCCAGAAGAGGTAGGGAAAGGCCTAGGGGTCTTTGGCCCAAGGCAGCAAGT